TAATATCAACAGAAAATTTAAGTAACTTATTGACCATTCCTTTCATCTATGTCATTGATGTAAATCAAAAAGAGCAAAGGTCCTAAGACTTAGCTCTGAAGTACCCCACTTGTGATATTAATCCATTATAACTGAACTCCATTTATAACAACCCTCTGCTTTCTTCCATCCTGCTACTCTTCTATCTAATTTGTTAACTAATCCCGCATAACTATAGAGATAATTTTTTCAAGCCTTTTATGTGGCACCTTATCAAATGCTTTCTGAAAATCTTGATACACCAAATCTACACTCTCACCCTCATCTACATAAGCAGTAACATTTTCAAAGAATGTCAAAAGATTTGTAAGGCAAGATTTTCCCTCAGTGAAACCACATTGACCATCCAATAACATTCTAAACTTTGTTGAATGACTTTGTAAAGTACCTTTTAACAAACTTTAAACCACATTCCAATAACATTCTAAACTTTGTTAAATGACTTTGTAAAGTACCTTTTAACAAACTTTAAACCACATTCCAATAACATTCTAAACTTTGTTAAATGACTTTGTAAAGTACCTTTTAACAAACTTTAAACCACATTCCAATAACATTCTAAACTTTGTTAAATGACTTTGCAAAGTACCTTTCAACAAACTTTCTGATGTCTATAATTACTGGGACAATTTTTATCTCTTCCCTTGCAGCAACCTCCTGTTCTGTTTTCAGTACAGGATCTTTGAATGTTATTTTCAAACGAAATATGGTAAACAGTTTCATGTATAGTTAAAAGTCATGATACATTACACATTAAAATAAAGCCACCATTTTCACACAAAATTAGTTAAACTAAACACAATGAAGAAGCTAATAAGTAACACTATAAATTTTACTAATTTTCTGAATTTTCATAAACTTACCAGTTTCCATAGTCTGTTGCATAAAAGCTTTTTGTCTAGAGGCAAACTCGGCCATAAGCTTCTGTTGTCTTTCTTTTGCTCTTCTCTTCCTACGACAAATACAGTAAAATAAGGATTATAGTTCACAAACATCTAAAATGATGAAACACACAAGACTATCAAATAAAGGCAGATGAATCAGTGTTACTATTACAGGGTTTCTCTATGTACTTAATTAACATTACATTATGACTTTTTACTCTTCCTGTTCACAATTATTGAGGTGCCACTGATGAAACTAGTAACTCAGACCATCAGACAACTCTTGATTATTAACAGAGTTTTATTTACCGCCAAAATAAATAATTGAAATCATTAATATTAACATATTACAACCTATCAATTTAAATCTAAAAACTGGTTTTGTGCAAGGAAAAATTACACAGGCCTGCAATGGTTTTATTGTCTTGAAATTTTTACACGTTCCACGGTAATTCCTATATGCTGAATCCAAAAATATCCATTTTTCTTCATCATTTACAGAATTTTTACAAAACGTCATAATGCAATACATAAAAGAAAGACCACAACATATAGTTTTGAGACTAAAAGACGTGGATTTCAGAAAAAACTCAGGATGAATGAGGATACATATTCATTTGATATTAATGTTCTTCCCCTTTCTTCAGATTGTTTGTATTTTTTCATTTTGGTAAATGAAATAATAATTTGATCTAAGTAAGTTTTTTTCTTCCCGATTAGTAAAAAATCCTCATGTGATAGAAAAAAATTAATATTATTTTTGAAATCTGCGTAGCTGAATTATGGAAAATCCGTTATTAAAACCAAAACAACTTTTATGAAGTATAAATTCGAAGGCCTGTGTTATTTTACCGGCCATCCAGCTTCAAAATTGTTCTTTAAAAAGTATTATGCCTATGGACTAAATTTAGTATCTCTCAAAATGACTTTATCAGCTTACAAAAAGTAAATAAATAGGTCACTAAAACTGATTAGATTTTTTTACCTTTCTTCCTCAAGAAAAAATATCTTTATAAACTTAAAACTTAGTCTCACATCATTAATAGTAAAGTTTATCATTACAATACATACCTTTCTTCCTTATCAAAAGCATCCTTTGCTGAACCTCCTTTCTTTATCTCTTCCTTTTTTGGCCACAAACGTTGTCTGATATCTTGGACTGGCTGTTCACCACTTGATACATTTAACTTTACAAATCTGTCTAGCACTTGACCAATAAAAAATGGTCCATCTCCAATTCTTGACTCATTTATAGCATTATCTGACAAAATTTCCATTCTTTCTGTGGGTGGCCGGTAAGAGTCCTTTACTCCGGACAGTTTGGAATGCAGCCTAAGTAACAATGACAAGAGGCTCTCATTTATATCTACAACTGAATTACAACTAGGAGGCAGTTCCTTTAATGACTCTTGATGATAGTGTGTGGAGGAACTCTCTCCGGGTCCAGCCGACTGTAAACTCTGCTTGTTTGGAAGCACCCTGTTTCGACCAGGAAATCTCCTCCACTTGAAGATACGGGGATGAATTGAAGTTAGCCCTACTGAGCTGGGAACTACGGCCAGGTTTGATCCTCCTCCTCCACTGCCGAGAGTTCCTGGAGGGAGAGGCGGAGGTAGAGGTGGCGGTAGTACCATGTTGGGAGACACAGAATCAGTGTCTGAATAGCCATGTGAATGTTGAGCAACTACAGAAACCGTTGATGTACTGCCCGACGTCTGACTGACCAGATTTCCTGATAAAATACATGCGCTTTCAGACTTTCGAATATTTTATCTTTACAGATAGATGAACACAGTACAATCTTTTTATTTATTAATTAGAACTATGTCATAATGACTGATATTTATGTAAAAAATAGTCTACTGTTGTTGAAATGAAACATTTTAAGCACTAACACTAAAATAAAATTAAGGCCCTTTTTTTTTCACCAAAAGTGACACAAAATGAATGATGAGAGGTTTAAATCCAAATGATGTAAAAAAAAGTGTTGTGAATAAAAGATAAAATTACTGATCTCATGATTAGAAAGAAGTGTTCTGTGTAAACAAGATAACTGGTCTAAAAATAAGCAGTGAACACATGTAAAACAAAATAATTTGTAAAACACTATTAGGGTGTGTAGTAAATAATATCCAAAATCTCTTAAATCGAAAAAAAAAGTCTTAAGTAACATAGAAAATGAAAATATACATAAATATAACACTTAAATATTTGCATAAAAAAAATTATAACAATTAAACCATAAGTATTTATGTTCATAAAATCATAAACAACAAGCACATACCACAATGTAATGGGCTGCAAAAGCCTTCTGTGTATGTGTGTGTGTGTGTTCAGCTATAAAAGTGTCTTTTTTTTTACCACAAGTTCTAAATTATTTTACAACATAGTTATTTTTTCCCTTAAATTGTGATTAACTTCTAAAACCATTAAGTCATATTTTATTAATACATATACTAAGATTATCAATCATGACACCTTTTCAACCAACAACTGAGTGGTTCTCCACTATCAAGTTCTGTTCCCACATCCCTCCAAATACACTTGCCACTTATGGCAATTTCCGTTGTTTGCTGGTTGGGTATAAAAATTAAAATAAAACTAAATAATCAACCTGCTAGACAGGAATTCTCGTTCCGGTAAGTTATTAGAGCAAATAATGACACTTTTAAAGAATAAGTACAGAACTTCATACTACACATAACTAACTTTCCTTGTTTTAGCAAAATGGCCATTACGCATTCTGTCTACCATGGGAAATTGAACCTCAGATCTCAGTGTTGGTAATCCGTAAGCTTACAACTTACCCACGGGGAAACAAAATATTGTGACGGCTCAGTAGCAAGAATGTTACGTCATCACACCCTACCTGACAAGGGCACTAAAGCACCCGTTGTAGCTACAGTGGCTGGTAAAGCTAAGTGTACGCTAGATGTTGGAAGTGACGGATGATGACTTGGGGAGCTGAATCCTTCTGGTGAAACATGGCAGAAATTATTATCCAACACAAAGAACATTGGTGCTGTATTGTCAAAAGATTAAATCAGATTCTGAAAAACAGGACCCATAATTTTAAAGAATTCTTGTTATATTTAATATTTATATTGTCATTAATTCTTTACTTGTATTAATTTCACTAATTCCATGACGTACTTTGGGGACTACACAATCACATAAGCTATAATATCTACTTTTATTAAAGTACATAAAGACAGAATGTTTCCATAGCACAAACTGTAATCAGTCTTCTAAATAATTCAGTATTACTTCAAATCCACATATCAATTATACATAATAGAAATGATTTTTGCCCACGTTATAAACTCTCTAGATCAATATATATATATATTCTAGAAGACCAACTAAGTTTAATTTGAACAACATATCCCTACTTTCAAACTTCAAATGTTAAGTACAACAACATTATCTTTCTTAAAACCTCAGCATCTTCTAAGTCTACCGTATCAAATCAACGTGCCTTCTTCAACAGTGGGACTCTGCACAAGATATGTGGCTCCCTCTGATGGTCCATCTACCTCCTCATCTACATCCATTTCTTCAACAACTCCCTCCATAATTTCAGCTTGCTCCATGACAACAACTCTTTGGATGGTCAACACCATGTTCTGAAGTGTCCAGTCTGTGGGAAACCAGTGAACAAAGTCCAGATTGGGAACTTCTTCTTTCATTGGAGACACCATTTCCTTCACATTCACAAAGAGATGCATTAAGAGTTGGTTAAAAAGCAGTCACTGAATGAGAAACATTGTGATTAACACTGGGATCACCCATAATCTTGTATTTAAAACAAACCCACATTCAACATGGTGATTAACACTGGTATAACCCATAATCTTGTGTTTAAAACAAACCCACATTCAACATGGTGATTAACACTGGGATCACCCATAATCTTGTATTTAAAACAAACCCACATTCAACATTGTAAGTAACACTGGGATCACCCATAATCTTGTATTTAAAACAAACCCACATTCAACATTGTAATTAACACTGGGATCACCCATAATCTTTTTTAAGTACATTTTTCTGAACTATTTATTCAACAGATTGCTTGTGGACCCATGACTTTATCGGCTACAGGGTTTTTAATATCATACAAGTCTCACAAAAAATAATTAAGTAAAAATAACATCAAATTACAATCAATCCCAATAATCTCTGTTGGAATCTCCACATATTTTGCATAGTATATTAGTGACTTCATAAATTCATTAAACTGCAATTTGCAATAGGTAAAAACAAAAATACTCAACATGGGGTCCTAACCAGTAGTGAACAGCATAAAAATAAGTCCATAATTTGAGGATTAAATTGATTGAAAGAGTACTTTTTTTAGTGATATCATCGTATTTAAATTCACAGCTGTTTCAGACTTTATCCTGATCTCAAAATTATTATTCAGTTGTACGAAAAGAGCGGGTACATTTACGGTTAACAAGATACAAATTTTTGGCTTAATCCTGTTCATTACAGATGATTAACATTACCATTTTTGTTCAAGTTGTATGTTGTTACAAAAAGATCAATTTCATATGTGGTTTTTAATAAATATCATGATACATTTAACTAATGTCAATCATAGTTTCCTTATAGCTTCTTGCAAAGTAAGGGTCTTATTGCTTTAATGTTCAGGTATTGTTTTAATGTGTTATCTGTTATTGTATGAAGTATAGATCCTCTGTTGAAGAATAAAACACATTGTATTTACACCTGAAGGATCACGATAGATACCATCCATCATGCTTTCAAATGACAATCTTGTGCTCAACTGTGAATTAATATCATTTACCGGGAAATGACAAAATCACCCAAATGTTAGACCCTGCTCTCAACATGGACTAAGTTTCTTTCAATGTGATATTTAGAAACACATATACTGTCAATGTCTCCATACGTAAAATGCATGTGAGATCGTGTCACCCGTGGTCACAAAAAATGTCCTCATTTTCATCTTTTCTTTATAGGGCTATTAATGTTTTGTCATATGATGAGGATTTGATGTTAGAATTAACGCATTTAAAACGTATAGCAATTGATAGAAAGTATCAACCTCAAATCATAGATAAAATGTACAGTAAATATTATAACAAAAATGGAAAGTAAAGAAAGAATATGTTTGCCCTATGTTGTACCTTGGTCAATAAAAATAGGTAATGTGTTGAGACAAAATATGAATTGAATATATAACATTTACTTCTCAATTAAAATTAAGTCATATAATTAATGGTTTGAAAGATAAAATTGAATTAAGGGATACATGAGGTATATATATAAAATTTCATGTACTTGTGATCTAAGTTATATTGGACAGACAAGTAGGAACTTAAAATTTAGAGTAAAAGAACATCAAAATGTGGTGGATAAATTAAAAATGGGTGAATCGGCTTTGGCAGAACATGTGGCGAATTCTACACGTTATTGACTGGGATAAAAATACTTAAACAGGTATTGGAAAAAGATGAACTAAATACAAGAGAATCCTTAGAAATTGTTAAAAACAAAATGAATATAAATAGAGATTTTGGCCCCGGAGCCACGGAAGTAAACTTTTGGAAATCATTGTTGAAAATTGGTGCCACTGTAAAAACATAGTTATACATGTACATTAGGTTTAATGTGTACTTCATGATTTATTCTCCAGGAAATGGTGGAATTATTTCCATCAAAAAATGTGGTGTTTTTAAAGTTTCTTGTAACATATATTTTTTAAACTTTACAAATAAATTATTGTGCAAGTAAAAAACTGTTGATGTCTCATTTTATTAACTTTATTTCAACTGTCAATAGCTATATAGAGGGAAATCTGCTCTTTTTAATTGGTTATAAACATGCCAGTCAACTTCAAACTGTCCATAGCAAAACAGCTTCGACTTTGCAAGTGGACGTGGCTGACCTTAAATTAAGAATAAAATTTACAGCTGTTTAGTGTTGATGAAATATATG